TTGACCGCGGAATGTTCTACTCATCCTGCCACGAGAGCGGGCTGGACTACGGAGAATGTTTTCAGGTCCTCCATGATATTCGCTGGGATGGGAGTGACATGGCCATCGCGTGTATGGATGTCTCAGGAGCTGAATATCAGATGCCCAGCCTCGTTCATCCGGCTGTCATCGACGGCGCGTTCCAAGCCCTCATGCCGCAGTTCCTCAAGGCGGATGCAGCGGGTGGCAGATGGCCGGTCACCGTGCCCAGTCAAATGCGAGGCGCGTGGTTCTCAGCCAGCGGCTGGCAGTACCCCGAGACCTCCTCGGTGCAATTTATGACATACCAGGAACCGAAATCCGGTCCTGCCGTTCAAACTGTCGAGGGCACTGTCCACATCCTCCGACAGCATGAAGGAACCGGCAACTCCTCGGTCCTATGCAGCATCGACAAGATCGTTCTCACTCCAGTCTCGATGGACAGCAATCCTGCCAGCAGCTCGAACGTGCCATTGAGAGGGACGAAGCTCCTGTACGGCATCAATTGGAAGCCGCAACTAAGCATGTTGACGCCCGAGCAACTTCACATGGTCTGCAAAGCAGACGTCTTCACCAAAGACGACACCTGGATGCGCGACTACCGTCATCAACTCGACAGCACTATTGACAAGGTCGTAAAGAAGACTCTCCAAGAACTATCACCACCACAAGACCGTGTTCGAGTTCCCAGCTCCCTGCACAAATACATTCAGTGGATGGAACACCACGTCGTCCATGTCTCACCATCTATCCCTCTTGAAGATGAAAATGCACCTCCTCTAGAGGTCCAACTTGAACAGATCAGAGCACTAAATCCCGCCTGGTCGTTCTTTCCCACTATCGCAGCAAATCTGCGCTCAATTCTCCTAGGCGAGACCGACCCCCTCCAACTAGCTTTCACAAGCGGCACGAGCCTGGCAGAGAAGCTGTACGCGGATCTGTTTGCCACAATCTGCGACGACCATCGCTTTCGCGCCCTGTTAAATCTTCTCTCCCATGAAAATCCAACTATGCGGATTCTCGAGGTCGGCGCCGGGACAGGGGGAATGACACACCATGTCCTCTCCATTCTGTCCGACGAGCTCGAGAAAGGCGCTGAAGAAGGCGGGGGCATGAAATTTTCCAAATATGTCTATACGGATATCTCGCCTGCCTTTTTTGAAAATGCTGCTGCTCGGTTCCAGGAGTATGTCTCCACTGGGCGGATGGAGTTTCGATCGCTGGACATAGAAGGGGATCTTGCCGCTCAGGGGTTTGCCGTGGACGCTCAACAAGTCTCGCAGGCAGATGACGATGGTCGATATGACCTTGTCATTGCCGGCGGAGTGTTGCACGCCACGGCTGATCTGGCTACTGCCCTTCAAAATGTGAGAAGCTTGCTCAAGCCCGGTGGGAAATTGCTCTTGCTGGAAATCATGTCGCCTCGGAATGTCTGCACTAATTTCGGGTTCGGGGTCCTACCCGGTTGGTGGCGGTGTGAGGAAGAGTGGAGGAGTCTGTGTCCGGCCATCACGGAGGAGCAGTGGGACAAGGTGTTGAGGGAGAATGGGTTCTCTGGGAACGATCTGGTCTTAAAGGATTGGGATAGCCAGGAGTGCCATGTTTCGAGCATCCTGCTTACTACTGCGTTGGCTCCCAGTTCCTCGAAATTTGGGAATGGCGTTGGCCCAAAACTTGGACGCGTCGTTGTCTTGGTTCCGAAGCACACTGAATGGGCGGGTGATGCGCTTGATGTGACCGCATTGGTCCAAGGTTTACATGGCGAGATTGACCGGCTTTGTCACCACGATGGGATGGTTGTTCTCTGTCTTGATGAGATCAAGGGCGTTGGTCCACTGCAGGTTGACGACATTGTCATTTCTTTGACTGAGATAACAAGGCCATGGCTATCTGTCATGACAGAGGTGGACTTTACCCGCCTCCAGGAGCTGGTGGGCCGAGCAAATAAGCTGCTGTGGGTGACGATTCCACCTCTCGATGACGACCAGTATCCTCAGTACTCGCTCTCTCGCGGTCTGCTAAGAGGAATACGATCCGAAAATATTGACAAATGTATTGCGACCTTGGAGATCGAAGTCCGGTCCCGGAAAAGTATCTCCACGCCAAGTTGCGCCCAGTTTGTTGCCAACGTGTTCAAGACCGTGTTCTGTTCGGATTCAAAGGAGCGGGAGTTTGTTGTCCAAAACGACCTTCTAATGACGGCACGGGTCTACGAAGAAACACGACTGGATTACAAGGTCCGTTCCCGAGTGTATCCCCAACTGAAATCCCAACCATGGCAGCCCGGACCGGGAGTCAAGTTGTCCATCGCGACACCCGGCTTCTTGGATACCGCCGAGTTCATCCAAGACTCCGTCTGCAAGCAAGAGCTCGGTTCCGACCAAGTCGAGATGGAGGCCAAGGCGTGGGGATTGTCGTTCCGTGATGTCTTTGTGGCATTGGGTCGGCTGGAGGGGACCGATCTGGGCTATGACTGCGCTGGAATCGTCACAAGGGTGGGCTCTGCCTGCGACACGCTCAAACCAGGCGACCGTGTCTGTGGTAGCTCTTTGGGATGCATGCGGACATACCCACGCACTCTTGCAAAGACAGTGACCAAGATCCCCGACTCCATGACATTCGAAGCAGCTGCATCATTCATCAGTCCGGGGATAACAGCCTACTATTCGCTCATACACATCGCTCGGCTCAGGAAGGGAGAGAAAATCCTGATCCACTCCGCTTCGGGCAGCACCGGTCAGATGGCCATTTGGTTTGCTAAAATGGTCGGGGCTGAAATCTTTGCCACGGTCGGTTTCCAGGACAAGAAGGACCTCCTGATACGCGAGTTCGGTATTGCCGAAGATCACATCTTTTACAGCCGGAACAGTTCCTTTGCTCAGGGGGTTATGCGCATGACTAATGGACACGGTGTCGACGTTGTCCTCAACTCGCTATCGGGTGACGGGCTCCGACGGTCTTGGGAGTGCATGGCCCCCTATGGCCGCTTTGTGGAAATTGGCAAGGCGGATATAACTTCCAACGCATCACTGCCCATGGGCGGCTTTGCCCGAAACATCAGCTTTACTGCGGTGGACTTGTACCATGTCGCCCAGTCGAATCAGGACCTTGCCTGTGAGCTGCTAAAGGACGTCATGGACATGATGAGCAAGGCCTTGATTTGTCCTCCGAGCCCCTTGCACTTACTTCCCGTCACAGACGTCGAGCAGGCCTTCCGATACCTGCAGAGCGGCAAGAATACAGGTCGTATCATCATCACGGTCAACAACCCGGATCTGGTACCCAAGCGTCTTGTTGAACCTCCCACGTGCAGCTTCCACTCTTGCGCATCGTATGTAGTTGTCGGCGGTCTTGGTGGGTTGGGACGGGCAATCCTCAGGTGGATGGCGGAGCGAGGGGCCAGACATCTTATTGTTCCGTCTCGGTCGGGTCCAACCTCGCCAGCAGCATCCCAAGTCATATCCGAGCTTCAGGCCCAGGGTGTGAGCGTCATGGCACCCAGATGCGATGCTTCATCAAGCGCTTCACTCTCTTCACTCCTCAAAACCTGCAGTGAAAACGGTATGCCGCCCATCAGAGGCTGTATCAACGCTGCCATGGTCCTGCAAGACGCAGTGTTCAGCAATATGACGCATGCCCAGTGGAACCTCGCCGTCAAGACCAAGGTTCAGACGTCTTGGAATCTTCACCAGCTCCTGCCGGAGTCGTTAGACTTCTTTGTCCTGCTTTCGTCGCTCTCGGGCATCTATGGCAGCATCTCGCAGTCAAACTATGCGGCAGGTTGCAACTTTCAGGATGCACTCGCACGATTCCGGGTGTCCAGGGGTCAGAAGGCCGTCTCGTTTGATCTCGGATGGATGCGGAATATTGGGATTGTTGCCGAGACCGCCGCCTACCAAGCCAATCGTCGCGTAGCAGCCGACATGGGGCAGATCGAAGACACAGAGCTCATGGCGTTACTGGACATGTACTGCACCTCTGACCTCCCCGTTCTGTCAGTGCCGAAGAGCCAAATCCTTATCGGTGCTGTAACGCCTGCCGATATGTTGGCACGGGGCGAGACGCCACCCGTGCTCGGGCAGAGGCTACTTTTTGCCAGCTTCTCTCAGGTCATAGGCAGCACAAGCGGCAGCAGCAACCACAAGAGGGACTTGGTGGATTTTGCGCAACTATTCCGTCAAGCTCCCCGATTCGAGGACAGGGCTGAAATTGTCGTTCAAGCCCTGGCAGCAAAACTAGCACGTGCACTCTCCATTTCAGCTGATGATGTAGAATCTAGCAGACAACTGTCGGACTACGGTGTTGACTCCCTCATGGCCGTTGAACTTCGGAACTGGATTATCAAGGACTTTAGTGCGAATGTGGCTGTGTTTGACATCATGGGTGGAACTAGGATCTCTTCTATTGGAGACTTGGTAGCAGAGAAGAGCTCTTGTTTGGCTCCAGTTTCAGCTGCCTCTAACTGAGACCTTTTTCGTGTAAAGGGGTATTGGGCCTAAGAGTCGAGAGAGGTCGGGTGTAATTTTCAGCTTCTTAAAGAGTGTTATCAGAGGAGTCCGTCGGTTCTATTACTTGTATATCGATTGTCCCTTACATACTGTAAAGCTCATCTGGCTGCATACCAGTCTGTCAGATAGGTATTATTTCTCTCTGAACACTTTAAGATACGGACAGCAGTTGGCGGCAAAGCCATCTCATGCCTCGAACACCGAGGTCGCCTACTTAATTACTTAGATTCGGCTAAAGAACAAGAACCATACTTCCACTCCCTAACTTGACTATGCTAATATATCCTGTAGAAACCACTTAAAGTTAAACAAGGTATAATTATCATTATAGGAAGTCTCACGGTAAGGTTTGGTTAACCCTAACCCAGCCCTTAAATCGCCCCTTAACATTTACGGATGGAAATTACTGAGAAATCTGTTAGTGCTGCGCGACCCACTCTACTTAGGATTGAAAAATAGCTCTTGATTACTACTGGGTGCATGGTCTAGTGGTATGATTTTCGCTTTGCATATTGTGTCAGTTGCTAATGTGAACGGTCCCCGGTTCGATCCCGGGTGTATCCATTTTTTTGCGTCTCGTTATCCTTCTTTTTTTTACTGTTCCCGTTTCCTAGATCAGGGAATCACTAGTCATCATATCATGTTCGCCATGACGGTTGTTCATCGTCTCCCGGCATTCCAGTACCAAGATTGACCCATTTCTTTGTCCGGTGCCGGCATTTCGGCACCATGTCTCAACCTCTTCCGAATGCGTCCCGGAGGCCGGATTAGTAACATTAACTCGGGAGGACATCCTCTCGCCACGAAAGGGCCAAATCACTCGTTGCACTACCTCCTGTATCCCGCAATGATGCTTAATGCCATTTTATTCAACAATCTTGCCCATCTTGTCACACCATGTCGCTCAGAGACCCGGACTACGGGTGTCAGGCTCACATCAAAGTCGACAACGAGATTGGCGGTCCAGGGGTAAGACAAAGAACCATCTAGACAGTGCTGCTGCTAACACTTTCGCCAGGTAGCCGCCTCATTCCTATTCGTCTCATGGCTCACCATAATCCTGGCATCAATCCTGGCGATCCATGAGCTCAAAATTGCCATCAAAAGATTCAAGACTTGGTTGGCCGGTCGCAAACGTGCCAGGCTGAAAGCCAGAAGCAGTTCCTCTTCCCAGTCATCACCTTCAGACTCGGCACCAGTTGCATCAACCCAACATGGTGACCCTGAGACTGCTACAGACTCTCTCGCTTGTGAAACAAACCATAAGGAAACCACAGCCGACCTCCCTCCGAAGCTGCACAAAGTCATTCAACTACTAGGCCACATCTGCGATATCCAAGTCGTCACCGCACTAGCCATCATCGTCGCCGGCCTCGCCCAGTGGACCCGGATCAGCTACTACCACGAGATCATGGTGACACAGTATTTCCAACTGACGCTGGACTCTTTCTGGGCGGCCAGAATCAACTACATGAATTTCTACCAAATCGATCATGTCCACTCTGGCCCTTCTCCGCGCCCACATTCCCCGTCCAACTCAAACGGTGACGTACGAATAAATGGCTCGGAGACAACAATTGGAAGCAGAGTCCCAGAAGCGACGTACTACGACGACCGCCAACCTTGTCTCCAAGTCCGCCGCACAGCAGTCCTAACGGCATGTGTCCTCGCCGTGATTTGGCAATTTCGCCGCTACTTTCGCGAAAATGTCGGACCGCAGCATTGGAATGAAGGGCCAGACGGACCATGTCATCGCTACCTGGACCATTCAACCCAATCGCTGTGCTGGTGGTTCGCACCACAGGCTTGATAGTCTTTTGTTTTGCCTTGGTGGTTACGTTGCTTGGTTTTCCCTGGGCCGGGAGACTACATCGGTGGTATGAGCGCGGTAAAACTGGCGCGATCGACTGGGCCAGAGGACGGTTTATGGGCTCATTGGGGCGGTGTGATGCCTTGAAAACGGGAAGAACCAAGGTTGGAGCTGGAAGGCTGGTGCAGGTGGTTCAGTAGCGGAGGAGAAGCACACTGCATCTGCCACACAGACGGCCACTGCCGATGCCCAGAGTGGTTCATTCACTGGGGCTCGACCAGTGCAGAGGGTATTGGCAACATTGATGCTCACCATCAACGGCTTCATACTCCTGGTCGTCTTTCTCCTCTGGCAATGGCTAGCCATATGGTCCTACGGTGATGGATTCTACCCTCTTCTCTGGTTCTGCTACTTTGGCTTCAATGTCTGGAATACCATTTCGGTAATCTCGTTGATCATCCTGAACCACCCGCTGGTGGACCACGAAGAGATGGACTGGGGGTTTGGACAGGTGCTACCGGTCGTCTTGTTGCTCGCAATCCTTTTTGTCACGGTTGATGTACTCATAAGGTAATTATGTCCTCTACCGGGAATTACGCTAAAGGGTGCACCCATGTGAGAGTTCCACGCTGACCTTGATCAGACGAGAACCACGGACGCTATCCAAGCCTTCGGCTCATCGGAGCGAAGAAAGAGCTGAACAAGGATAGATGCTCACACGTCTCTGCATATTTCACCGAAACGAGCTACAGGATTGTGCGATGGTCCCTGTCCACCGCGAACCATTTGTGCAATTCGACAACGACAAAACGTTAAAGCCCAAGCCCAGTGGGCCATGCTGGGAAAGTTCCTAAATCAAAGTTTAACCAGAATTCTGAATACGAAAAAACTACGAGGGTAGGGTAAGGTAAGCCCTGACAACATTAACTTTGTGTGGCGTTCTTTTTTTTTTTTTTTTTTTTTTCAGGTACAAAATACCTGCCAGTCCGAGTCTCCGATCTTCATCTTGGATTTTTGCTTTCCCTCTTTACAACCAAACGCAAAAGCATCTCCAACAACGCCAGCGCCCAGAAAAGTCAGCAAGATGGGGGCAACTTATATTCCAATCTTCTGCACCGCCGCGGTCACGGTCGAGACACTCTCAGAAATCCTCCATGATGCCTATTACAAAGGCTCAGAAGAACAATGCAAAGCCCTCATCCTCGTCCACGACAAAAACACGCTGCCCTCAGCACGTGAACACAAGTTTGTCAAGAACATAGAGGCTACCCTCCCGCCAGTCTCTGATCCACCAACCTCGGATTTCTACGGTGCAACTATCGGTCAATTGGTGGCTCATGTGCAGGAGAATACCGAGAGTCGAACCTCAGGCTGGACTACGGGGGCGTGTTTTCTCGTGGCTGATAACCAGACTCTGAAGGATAAGAGTCTGAACCTTGTGGATTGCCATCGAGACTATGACGGCTCATGCGAGAGTGATGTTCACTTTCCTAGCGTGCGAGTTGCATCGGATCAGGCAGATATCTTAGCTGTGAACGTGGAGATTGCGAATGTGGGTGTTGGCGAGCTGAAGGATAATGCGGATGAGGATGATGTCTGTCGGGGATGAGGGTACACCCGTCTCAATCGGAGGGAGGTTATTTGCCGCCCCTGAACTTGGGGAATTAGCAGGGGAAAGATTGGGTTATTGGCTTATTGAAGAAGGTTAGTTTTAATTTCTAGGGATACTATCCATTACACGTCTTAACTATTATATTTCTTAGAGCGGGATTGGGTACACGCGTTATTCCACCATTGCACAGACGGTCCTTAGAAAGAGTTTAAACAGTGCCCCGACTTGTCACCTCACCGCTCCTCCTCTCCTTCCTTAACCCCTTCGTGTCATCATCACTCTCGCCGCCCTCATCGTCACTAATCCCACCAAGGGCAAAGTACTCATCTCCAACCCTCCTATTTGCATTCCCATTTCCATTCGCAGTCAGCCCAATGCCCTCTTCGCCTTCACCGTCCAAGACCTTCTCCCGTCTCAGTCTCTCTCCTCGTCCCCAAGCCCAAATCCAAAACGTCAAGCCGACAGCCCAGACCAAAATAACCCCTGCCGCCAAGAAAATCGAACTAATCCCCAAAATCTCATGGTGATGATGAGACATTCCGAGAAGGATATTCGTCCACCCCATTGCCAAGATGGCTCTTCCCAGCCAGATATGCACCCTTGCCATCCAAGTTCTTTGGCGAACCTTTAAAAAGGCAACGTGATGGCGCCATCCCAGCAAGACCTGGACGACAAGACAAAAAGAGATCAAGCTTCCGAGGATGGTATGCAATGACTTTGGTCTTGAAAAGTGAGTATGTGACCAGCCTATCATTGCACCGGTGAGGGAGAGGACGGTGGCGATGGCTTGGGGGACCCAGTGGCGCGTGAAGGGTTGTATCGCGGTCCAGGATGCGAAGGAGGGAAATTTGGAAAACGGAGAAGTTGAGCGGATTTTGGAAGCAGTCGGTGGTTGACGAGTTGGAGGTTTAGCGGGCGACGGGGAGGTGCGGATTAGGAGCGTTCCGAGGGGAAACAGGACGAGGTAGGCCGTCCACATGAGGGTGCCGTGGATGGGGAATTTCTTGGGCTCGTCGCCGTCGGCGTGGTCCCCATGGCGGACTTGGAGGCTGTTCATTATGGCTGTTCCTTGCGGTGAGGTCGAGACGGAAATGGACTGGAAGATGGCGATGGCGATGGCGATGAGGTTACGCCGGCCGACTCGGGTAATTTGACGGTTTCAGTCGGTGTTCCGTTCGTGCTGGGTCTTGTCCGGAATACTCGGGCTTTTTGCTTGGCACCGACGATGGGCCCCGCTCTGTTCCGAAACCCGGCGAACAATCCGGAACCTGGGCGTGTACTTGGAGCACAACGCAAGGGACGATGGTCGGGTCGGAAAGAGGACGCGGACGGAAATATTGGTAGAGAATCAGAGTGGAATCTCAAAATGTGAGACTGTCTCTATGAAAGGAGAATGAAGGAATGAGGGGCTGATCGTCAGCGACCTTTTTAGCTCCAGAGAAAGCTGTTGCACGGGAATTGTAAGCTTACATTGTGGAAACCTTGGCTTGAGCTAACCCACGTTATTTCCGTCGGTGGCTTCACCGCCAATACGGATACTTGGGGAAAGAAGCTAGAATTCTCGTTCAAAGGATGAGCAAAACACTCCGGGGAAATGCCAAATACTTACTGAACATTTCGGTCAGGTTTTATGACCAGAGTGGCCTCAAGAAACATCAATAATACGGCTCGACGGGGGTGGGATTATTGTCCCGGCGAATCGATAGTCTGGACGCACACGGTGCGGGAGGCGCGGTCGGTCATGCAATGACATCTGGGCCAAGGACTTTTGGTGTCTGTCGTGGCATACCTTGCAGCTATTTGGCACACCAACTCGGGCGGGTACTTCCAGGTTAGTTCACATAGCATCGCATAAACTTGCTCGCCGGTTGGTCATTTTTCTTTGCCGAATAAATCATCAATTAACAAGAACTTGACAAAAGTACTCCCGCTGCAGTGGTATCATAATCATCCCCCCAACCAAATCGGCAAAACACCAACGGTCTGTACAGCTGTGTACAGCCGGCAAAGGCCGTATGTTTCCAAGATTCCACAACCCTTTAGACGTATTCGTATCGCCCATGATAGGAGATTAAGATCATTAGTATACATATCTAAACCCATCAGCACGCCGATCCGCACCGTCCTCCTCCACGTTGCCCG